TTATGTCTCAACCTAATTTCACTTTGAGCTCCTATTTCCACCAGCATGATGGAACCTCAATTCTATCAGTCCAAGAGCCTGACCCCATTCCCTGGAGTGGCAACAGAACTGCCGAAGACTTACACAGTGCCAAGGCACAAGGATCTGGCGTCTGCTTTGTCCTCGTGTCACCTGCCTGTGCTGGCATCCACTAGCTTCCTGGAAGAGTCCTTGTCTTCAGCGACTCAGGCTGGGACAGTGGGCCGCCATGGGTGATCAGGCAGGCTGTCCACTGCACAAATGTGCCTAGGTGAGGTGATATGTGGGGCTGTAGTTTTGCCTGTGCTGCTAAGCCCTGGCTGTGGGTGTAGGGCCACTGTTACCCTGAGGAAAGGACACTTTGCCTTAGCACCAGGGAAACATCCACTGACCAGGTAGGTCACCCACCATGGACTCCTCTATCTGCCCAGACAGGGTGCAGTTCTCTGATGGGCACAAAGGGAGTTTGGAGCAGGCTGTGGCCTTATTGGGTGGCTCCCGAGGCCTACAGTCCAGTGACACTTCCGTGTGGTGCAGGTCACACCCTCCCTCCCGCGGGGGTGGGTGCCCATGAGGGGCTTTCAGGCCACAGCCCTCCCCCTTAGACCTGCTGTCACCCAAAGGATGCCCCCAGGAAGCGGGGCACAGGCGCCTCTGCTTGGGTCTGCAGTCTCTTGCAGCTTTGCCCTGCAAACTGAGCCAGGTCTCCCTGACAGGACTCAATAAGCAGTTTTCCTTCCCTTTCGGCGGCTCTCCCACAAGGCTGCCTTGTCTCCAGTTCTCCTCGGGATCTTCTCCCCAACTCTGTTCTAGCTGCAGGTCCTCCCTGAGTCCCTGAAAACATGCACTGTGGATCCCAGAGTCACACAGACGTGCCCATGTTAGCTTTCTGCCTGGAGCAGCCCTCCTTGGGCAGTGGGCAGAAGGAAGGAGCTGCAGTGAGGGAGAGGAAGAGGAAGACCCGTCCCCCCACTCCGCCCCATTATTCCAAAGGCGTGGGGCCCTGCCGGGCCTGTGTGCGGCCGCACTTCTGCAAATAGGGAAAAGACCTCTAGTCCCACTTCAGCGCCGAACAGGGGTGAGGGATGAGCCTGGACGCCCGGCCCCTCACATCCCTCCTGCGGCTGGGCTCGGGCTTCCGTCAAATGCTGGTTGCAGACCCGCCCTGTTTCCCATCCACCGCCTCGTACTGGAAGGTCTCAGAGGCGATCGTGGATGCATCCTGGATGCTGCTCGAGCGCCCCCTGCCGGGAGGTCGGTGCTGCTCCCCACCGCCGGTCCTTTGTACACCTGCTCACGTTTCTTACACGGCTATCAGTAAGCGAGGCTAAATTGTCACTCTGTTCTCTCCAGTTCTGCGCTGTTCCTGTGTTCTAGTGACATTGTAAATGGCAACAGGAAAGGTAGATGGTCCCTAAAGTGTTTAGCCTGCCCAAGAGGAGCTGTAATTTAAAAACAAAATAGTAGTGACACATTTGTTGTGTTAGGCCAGTTCTAGAAAGGAACCATTTGCAGGCCAACTTATTTCATTCAGAATTAAAATTATTGTTATCGAATCCCATAGATATATATTATATACATATATATATGAGAGAGATACATATATCTCCGTATATGTCCTACTATACATGAATGTCAATAAGAAATGAAAACTAGAGGAATTTTTTGCCATTAAATTACCAATGAAAATTTATATTTCTTACTATGGTGGCAACATTGAGGCAGCTTTCAAATTTTTATTGCAAGCAACAATAAAACCTACACTGCTCCTTATCATAAATTCCATCCAGCAAACTTATTCTTGGAGAATGTTCCCTCTTTTACCCAACTCTGATGTTCTTTGTCATTTTAGGGTTACACTGCAACACTGCACAAACGTGGCAGATATTTTTGGTTGCCTTATCAGGAGAGGCGGAATAGCTAACTTTTTTGCTCATCTGGATAGCAGTTTTGCAATGCTGAAAAATGTTTCGTGAGAATTTCAGCTCAGTAGCTACAGGCACAGCACAGGACTGACTCTAACCTGCACTGCTAGCCTAGTCTCCGCTGCTTTTTAAAGGGTGGACTGCCCGTAAGGAGGTAAGTCAAGCCATGAACAAGGACTCACTTACGGATTTCTATGGAGCATTCATATTCAAATCACCAGAAAGATTGCAGTGAATGCGGAGTCAACACGACACGTTAAATAGCCTGTGCGCTGTACTTGTACACTGGCCATACAAACCTTCAAGAGCGGGCAACACTATGCAGGAAAAAAAAATTAGCAAGCAATAAGTTTTGAGTATTGATCGCTCCTCTTTTTAAAGAATTAATTATACGCTTTTCTCATGTGCTTTCTAGAAGTGTTTCGCAGAATCCCCGAGTGTGTAACAGCAGGCACTCACTCAGGCACGCTGCTGCAGCCTCCAGACCTCCGGCTTCCAGGGAAGGCGCTGGCGAGAGATGAGAGGGCAGGAAGACAGTGGGCTGGGGCTTCCTCCTCCCCTTCCAGGGCCTTCCACAGCCCCAGGGGCCCCCAGGCTCAGCCAGCACCCTACGGTGCTAAGGGCTTCTTGGCTTCCCCCTCTGGCTGGCCCCTGGTGCCCCTCTCTCCCCTCAGACCTCCGGGAGTAGCCCTCTCCTTCCCTCCCGTAGGACAGTCCCTCACTTTTGAGGGTTTTCTGTTTCCTAGTCAGACCCTGTGCTCCAGTCTGCTTCTGTGGTCAAAACCTGTAATACTCATACTTCCAAATGTAAGAGCTGTTTATCCTCGGGCAAGTGACTCAACTGCTCTGAGCCTTAGCTTTGTAAGAATTAAGTACGATGCAGGAGGATATTCCTCTGAAAGCTTAATCAATGGCATTGTTTTCTCCGGCTACTTCCCGTGCCTTCTCATTCCCAGCTGGACAGCTGCACCCTGTGGCACTCACTTCCCCCCTGACGGGTTACAGCAGAAGAGAGGGGAAGGTCTGCGATTTCAGGTCCAAGACCACGTAGGGGATGGGACAAGAAATACCTCCTGAGTCAGAGCTAAGCATCCTGGTGCAGGCCCTCGGGCCTGGGAAGGTGGGACTGCAGAACCCCCGGTAGCACGGGGAGTCAAAGAGCTAGGAATAGATGGTGGTGACTGAGTCCAGGGAACGCCGAGACCACCCCGCAGCAGCCCCACGCTCCAGCGCGGCTCAGGAGAGACGCTCATACGGGGACCCCAGGCGAGTCCGGATGTCTCTGCCACCGCGGTGTCACGGCTGCACGTGACAAGCGAGAGCCTGGTGCTGGCGTGCGCTTGATGAATGGGAGAAGCGTGGACCCACAGCAAATAAACCACCTTCCCCCCGCACGCCACAGAAGGGGGAGGGAGTTAGCGGGAGCCCTACACTCCTACCACCCACAGAGTGGGATCTCTGCGGAGCCAAGGCTCAGTTTCTGCCCCACTTGTGGTTAGAGACTCAGGCCTGTCACAAGGGGAGCCCTGGAGGCTTTCTCAGGGGACCTTACTGTACCATCGGGCTGGCCAACCCACCTTCCACGCTGTCCATAAAACGCACGGACCGTCGTCCCCGCCGTGAAGAGCCCTGTGGCCGGTGAATGACTCCAGCCCGCCCCTGGGCACCTTCATTCCCACCCAACCAAGGGCCAGCTGTGTTTGTCCCTGTGCCTCTTGCTGCTACTTAGGCTGCTGTTGCCCTCTGTAACTTAAGTAACTGTCCCTCAAAGTAATGAAATGCAAGTATGCAAAAAAGAGCTGTGGTTTCTATGGCAATTAAATGGAGTACTTTCTTAAGCGCACAATGTGGAAGAAAAGAAAACACTGACTTTCACACTGGGTGTGCATGTGGGGGGCTGGGGTGAGTGTAAAAGTCTGAGGGTAGGTTAGGTATCTAGAAAGGTCTGCACGCAGAGATCCCCAAGGTCTCTTAAGTTCTTTCTCCAAGGAAGAAACAGACACTTAGAGTGCAATGTCCTTCGAGGGTAGTTTGTGGAAGGAAAAAAATAGAACTCGAGTCAGCCTGTGTGGAAAGAAAAGTCTATCCTCCAAGCAGAGGCGCAGAAATGAAGCTTTATCCATGCTTTAGGTTAAAACAGACTCAAAGAGTCAAATAAGTTATCTGTTCTGCCTGTTCAAAATATTTTCAGATAAAGCTAATTTGTTTCACTTATACCACTAGTTTCTTTGTTCATTGAAAAGCAAGTTTTCTTCTTTTCTTCTTTGCAAGAAAAATTTTTTTGGTCTATGATTTGTATTCTGAGTATCATTTTGAACATTCTTTTCAGATCGTTATATATAGTATATTAACCATTGTTATTCTCTCAGTATTTTGTTATGAAATTTTGTTTTTCATAGAAGAACAATGTCATATTTTATCAATATCTACTTGGTATAGGAAATAAAAAAATTTTGAAAAGGATCGTAAGGCACACATACACGAGTATATGTATACATAAGTGGATACAAAGTATTTTACATGTATATATAACTTTTTCCTTGTTCCTTTTTGTGGCGCTAGCGATCTAACCCAGGGCCCTATGCATGCTAGGTAAGCACGCTACCCCTGAGCTATATCCTCAGCCCTCCAAAATTTTAAAAATAGAAAAATCCCCAAATGTAGCACCTCGGAGGAGAAGTATCTCACAAATACAGTAGCGAAGTTCGCCGCTGCTCAGGACGCCTCACTTTCATCCGCGGAAGCAGGACTCCTGAGTGCGTTAGGGACGCCAGCCGAGCGGCAGGTAATTCTACCCGGAAACCCTGCCTGGAGCCCTGTCCAGCCAGCGAGCCACCGCCCCGCAGCAAACACGTTTGCAGCAGCGCTGGGCAGCCTCGCGGCGTCGCGGTCACCCCGGCAGGGGGCGCTGTCCGGCCACAGAGGCCGTGCCGGGCCGCGCTCTGATTGGCTGGAGGCCGCGGCCAGCGCCCGGAGCCTCCCGCCCAGTCCGCTAATAGCAGCCCGCTCCGCAGCGCCGGCCAGTCTGCGGGCCTCCCGGGTGGCGGCGGCACCGGCCAGGCGAGGCGAGGCGAGGCGAGGCGGGGCGGGCGGCAGAGGGGACAAGATCCGGGCAGGAGGGCAGCGGGCAGCCGGGACAGCCCCGCGCACGCACAGGATGCTGTCGTGGCGGCTGCAGACGGGCTCCGAAAAGGCCGAGCTGCAGGAGCTCAACGCCCGGCTCTATGACTACGTGAGCCGGGTGCGGGAGCTGGAGCGCGAGAACCAGCTGCTGGAGGCGCAGCTGCGCGGCCGGCGCGGCGAGGAGCGCCTGTGGGCCGAGGGCCAGGCGCGCTTCGCGGAGGAGGCGCGCGGCCTG